CCTACTTCCGTAGTGATACTGCCTCGGAAACCCAAGGAGGGGTCGCTATGAGTCGGGGCTGACTCGACGGCACATAACAACAACAACAACAATGGGAAGGGACTATTATAAATTCAATTAGTTTTCTAGGCTAGTCTGAAAAAAAAAAAAAAAACAACTCACTGCCATCAAGTCGATTTCAACTCCCAGCAACCCCTCCTTTGGTTGTTTATTCCATAAGGTAGGAAACTAAATTGAGTTTCGCAACAATGGATCAGAGGGCGCTATTTCCCAAATGTTTCCAAAATGGCTTATCTTTCTACTTTCTGTAATTAAAATTTCCATTCTTAGTATTGCTGACATTATTTAGGGGTTAGATCATAATTTGAATATATTGACTCAGCCCAGAGCAAATTTAAAATTAGTTTCTAATGTATCTTTTAAAGAAGATAGTTAATAAATGAATTTCTAATTAGTTGCATTTTGGGCAGTATGCGACATCATAAAGTGTAAATGTTTAAGAAATGCCGGGGAAGATAATTAGAGGAAGCAGATCATGACTGAACACTCTGAAAGACTTCCTGTTCTTCATAGCTTCTTTCTTTCTGCACAATGACTCACATCTACTCAGAAAGTTCCAGGTGGCTTCACAGTCAATTTAGTGATTAGGATGGTGAGGACATTGGGATTGATGGAGTGGGGCTGGCTAGAGATGGTCCTTTAGAGGAGGAGGTTCAGCGTAAGGTCAATGTAAGGTGGGACTACCTATAGTAACCATGCTTTTTTTTTAACCAGACCAGCTCATTACCTGTGGTGATGATTTCCAACGTCAGTCAGTTACCTAATGCTTGGGCGTCCATCGTTTGGTACAACGTGTCAACCAATGATTCCCAGGTAAAGTCTGTATTCTCATCCTCCACCCCTTTAATTCTTTCATTTTTCATATCAATAAAACCCACCTATGTCAAAGGGATTTTTTTTTTTTTTAAATTTTTGGCATGTCTTGTTCGTTGTTTTATTACTGAACTCCAATTATTTTTAGTTTTATAATTCCATTCTAATCTGATAGTTAAAGTATTACGTTCTGATATACACTTGGACCCTAAGAGCATTCTGGCTAGCCTAAGTGATAGGCAGGTATTTGTTATTTCTGAAGGATCAGTCCACTCCTATCTTTGTGTATCAGCGAGTTCTAGAGCCATACTGTGGCTCTTCTTACCGGGCTATGGGGCCCAGGGAGTCTTGTGCCAGAAGTTGCTATTTGACTGCTGTGTTTACCTCCTTCCCAACTATTTCTGGCCCCCCACCTTCTCCACACAGCTGCTCTACAAAGGTACAGAACTGGTTTCCAAATAAGTGACTAGAGTATTTATCAATCTCGCCTAACTCCACTCTGACAGCATAAATTTCAAGAGATGGGCTGTAGATCAAATCTATCCTAGGCTCAAATCGGGTTTTAATGCCATCTGGTGGTTATTTGAGACACTGACCAAAATTTGGACTCAAGTTACAAGAAAGCACAGCATAAATGATCTTCTTAAAAGATAACAAGGGCACAATGGAATACTATGCAACGCTAAAGAATAATGTAGAATCTGCAAAACACC